TCTGATTCACACTTGGCTGTTCTCCTACTCGTATACATGGGCATTCACTACTCACACTCTCGATTTGACAAATTCGCGCCCTTGGTAGTATTCCGTTTTACACTTGGCTGTTGCTACTATGGGATGGGTGACCGATATTTGGCTGCTATTACGGAAGGATGATTTGATTAAGACTAGTTGCCCCTCTTTCTCTCTCTCTCCCTCTCTCCCACTCTCTCTGTCCCTCCCTCTTACTCTCTCTCTCTCTCCCTCTCTCTCTCCCTCTCTCTCTCCCTCCCTTCCTCTCTCTCTCTCCCTCCCTTCCTCTCTCTCTCTCTCTCATGATCTAGCTCTCTCCCCCTTCCATCGCTTGGCAAATAACGAACCGTTCACCTCTCACTTGTTACATTGTCAGGGAACGAACGGTGAAAGGAACTTGTCCTCGCTTGGTGGAGAAAGTGGGCAAGGGGGGGGCTGCCGGTCCCTTGTGCCGCCAAGAAGTAAAAGAAAGGAAAACACACGCAAGCAATTGAGAAAGCTCAAGTTCAGAAAAATGGCTAGTTGGTGCTTGAAGCGAGGTCAGTTTGACTCAACCATTTCCTCGACGGCATGACTACGAGAAGAGGATGGACTGATTGAGGAAAGGAAGGAGAACAAAGAGAAGCCAAAGAAAAAGGAAAAGTTAGGCATGGGGGAAGGGCTATGTGTTGACCCCAATGGGGGATTGTATCGGTTTTTGCTTTCGTGTGGGATTGTGCAGGTAAGTAAAGCCTTGGGATGTCTTGAGCGGGACCGGGCCGGGAGAAATTGGGCGGCAAAGGAAAAGGGGAAGAGGGGGCAAAGGGGCTATGAGCCCTTAGTGTAAAACCGAACCATGAGGGAGACCTTTGTGCTTGGGACTTGGAATACGAACAAAAGAAAGGGATGAGGCTTGTTGCTGATCGGACTGTGAAGTAGCTTGTGCATGCATGTGAAGGCCCTGAAAGGACTAAGGGGCCTGCTCCAATGACGATGGATGAAATGTACGAGACGCGAGGAGAGTGTAGAGGCGAGGGTGAATTCGGCGTTCCCGCACCCCGATGACGCCGTAGGATTATTGTGCTTAGGGAAATGGTGCGTGGCCTAAGGATGACGTTTAGCCTGCGCACAAGAGAAGAAGAACTCCCAAAGAAGCCCTGGACTGCCTGCGTATTGGAAGGAGCATTTGCTTGAGAACACAACCAACAATCGAAAAAAAATCAGCGTTTGCAGAATGACCAGCGAGACTACCACCCGGTCTGAGGGCTGAGCTACATCCCCAATGTCAAAGCTCTCTCGCGCGATGGCCCACCCCCATCCATCTCAACGCACTAGGTGGGGGTGACCCTGGGATGAACGGCCCGCGCCCTGAGTGTGAGCGTGGGCTGGCCGAGCCAAATGGGACCCGCAGTGGGGTCGACCAAGGCTCGAAAGTCTACAGGGGTTTGGCCCTACACCGGTCACCCATCCCACAGTAGTAGCAGCCAAGTGTGAACCGAAACACTACCAAGGGCATGAACTTGACAAGATGAGAGTGTGAGTAGTGACAGCACAAGCACATGAGAAGTTGAACAGCCAAGTGAGAACCGGAACACTACCAAGAGCATGAACTTGACAAGATGAGAGTGAGAGTAGTGAAAGGACAAACACACGAGAGGTTGAACAGCCAAGTGAGAACCGGAACACTACCAAGAGCATGAACTTTACAAGATGAGAGTACGAGTAGCGAAAGTACAAGCACATGAGAGGTTGAACAGCCAAGTGAGAACCGGAACACTACCAAGAACATCAACTTGGCAAGATGAGAGTGTGAGTAGTGAAAGCACAACCACATGAGAAGTTGAACAGCCAAGTGAGAACCGGAACACTACCAAGAGCATGAACTTGACGAGATGAGAGTATGAGTAGCGAAAGCACAAGAACATGAGAACTCGAACAGCCAAGTGAGAACCGGAACACTACCAAGAACATGAACTTGACAAGATGAGAGTGTGAGTAGTGAAAGCACAAGCACATGAGAAGTTGAACAACCAAGTGAGAATTGAAACGCTACCAAGAGCATGAACTAGACAAGATGAGAGTGTGAGTAGTGAAAACACAAACACATGAGAAGTTGAACAACCAAGTGAGAATCGGAACACTACCAAGAGCATGAAATTGACAAGATGAGATGTTACATCTTCGATGCCACACGGGTCCTACCGGACCCGACTTGGGGCTAGAGGGACACATCAGGGCCTAAAGGCCCGACCTTGGGGGAGAACAGGCCGAAAGGCCACGACTTGGACCCGACTACGGACCAGGCCCAAATGACATTTCGTCTTTGGGCCTGACGGCACCGTTTGAGGCTGCCGCTCTCCGGTTGGACCTGAATCGTCGATCTGGACGGTTCAGCCCCAACCAAGGCCTCGCAGCAGTGAGGCCGGTCCTCTTCGAACCAGTACTTAGTACTGGTCCGGCCTCACTTCGAGGCATCGATCCACCGGTACTCTACGCGGTGCGGTAAGGTCGGCGCCAGAGCGCCGTTTGAGCGCTATTCCTAGCGCAGGAGCGAAGGGCAGCAGCAGAGCGACCTAGCGCAGCGGCAGCAGCGAGCGAGGACAGCAGCAACAGCACGGTGGCCATCGCCGCCTCAACAGCAGCAGCTGCAGGTACCAGGAGGCGGGGATCTCTTCCTCCCTCCTCGGTCCCTTTCCCTCCTCACCTTCGTCTCTCTCTCACTCTCTCTCCCTCTCTCTCTCTCTCTCTCTCTCTCTCTCTCTCTCTCTCTCTCTTCTTCTTCTTCCCCTTCTTCTTCCTCTTCTTCTTCAGACCGGAGACCTATACTAGTTGGACAGAGATCAGTGTTGGACTTCGGTGGTAYGAGACTGTGGTACTTACCRGATTGGAGACTTGGAGATCGTTGGGGTTGATACTTGGCGACATCACAGTTCAGACACCGGTTACATTTGGACTCTGTATCCCCGACATTGGTGACCTATGGTCCTCGACATTTTGTTGGATGACATTTTGGACTACCATATCGGTGACCTATCAGATTCTATCTCGGTGATTTTCGGTGGTGTCTACCTCCCCCCACCTCTTCGTCTCTCCTCCCCCATTCATCTGTGTATGTGTGTACGGGGCTGAGCATCTTCTATGTATGGCTCAGACCCGCACCACCTCACGATTGTATGTGTGTGGAGTGATGCTATGTGAGTCAGTCTATGTGAGTCAGTCTATGTGAGCAGTCCGTTCATCAGACTTCCGTTGCATATATGCTCATCCTACATTGGTTGATCCATGGTTTTGCCCATACTCATTGGAGTATGTAACAGTTTTGGTATCGGAGCAGACCATATAACGGATCTGCTCACAAAGGTTAGTCTGGTTAGGAATTAGATTGCCTTCTCAATCTTCCAAATCAGCGCTGTACTACTATTAAGTTCAAAGTTGCAAATTTTTTTCTTTTTCGGTATTCTATTTAGTTCGGCATTTTCGTTCAATTCGGTATTTGGACTTATAATTCGGATTTCTGTTTTCTTCCCGTATAATTCGGATTTCTGTTTTCTTCCCGTATGCTGTCTATTTGAGTTCCGATTGAAAGATACTAATCCGATAATTGATTAAGTTTCGGATTTCTGATTATACATGAATTAGGGTTGAATCAGTATCATGTTGAAATTCGGCGTTTCCGATTTTCATTCAGCATTCCGTTTTTCGGCATTTTTGTTGTAAATCCTATATTTCGTTTTCTTTTGGATTTCCGTTGTCTTTCAGTATTGGAAATTAGGGTTACGAAAATCTTTGGGTTTCAGATCAACTTGGGGAAATTCGAACGTTTTGGGRCCGTAAATCCGGAAATTTCGCGGAAACGCGGAAAATTAGGGTTCGGACCGAAATTTTCGCGAAATTTTTTTTCGTTCCCCTTGTTTGAGAAATTCCGAAAA